TGATTTGTTTCTCCTTCAAATGAAAAAACATTTTAAACGATGTATTTTTGTTTAAAAATATCATGATCCTTCACAAACTTTCCTTTCATAGTTTTAATTGGAAAACAGATTGTGGTTTTCCAGCAACCTGGCTCTTAAAGAGGCTTATGGTAAAAAAAAAAGACAGATTTTCCCTCATCATGTGTTTCACATAATAGTTGACAGAGGCTCTGATTATTTTTCATCATCTCCTACTAATGGAAAGTGAAAAAAACCCCATCTTAATCACAATCATTTGCTAAAGCTTTCCACTCAGTTGTTCTTGCTAAAATAAACATCATCAATTTAAACCAAGACATCTGCATTAAATTGGTTGACATGAGTCGACCAGTATAGGTGAATTTTAGGATGAACTAAAACTGGCCATAGTGAATGAGTGTGAAAGTGTTTCCCAGTACTGGGTTGCGGCTGGAAGGGCATCCAGTGTTTAAAAGACATGTTGGATAAGTTCTGCTGTGGTGATCCCTGATAAGGGACAATGCAAAAGGAAAATGAATAAAAGAGAAGACGACCATTTAAGTTACATTTAGGTTAAAAGGTTAGTCAAGATGATGCCAAAATAAAATGAACAGCGGTAGCTTGTATGAACTGTTAAGCCAGATTTCCTTCAACTCTAAATTCAATATACATCAAGCAGTGTGCGAGCTCACCTTTTTGTTCATAAGCTGATTTTGTAAAAGACAAGCAAGAACTCGGATTCTTGCCTTTATACCAAAAGCTGATTAGACCCCTAATTATTTTCAGTCCTCTCAGAAAACACTGCTTTTATTATCTGAATTCAGTGGAATAGTGTTTTGGTTGACTTCTAATTTTTTTTGTAAATATAATAAAATGTTTTTCCTGATATTCAGTCATCGTTTAAGGGCTTTCAATGCAAGTATTTATGTAAGTGACTGATTGACTATGCTATTAATCTGATTAAACCATTGATTGATTGGTTGGTTGGCTTTTATGACCACATCCCACAATAAAAAAAGATTTGAACAATGAAATCAGATCTTACCTCAGATTGCCTTTATACCAAAAGCTGATTAGACCCCCAATTATATTCAGTCCTCTCAGAAAACACTGCTTTTATTATCTGAATTCAGTGGAATAGTGTTTTAGTTGACTTCTAATTCTTTTTTTTGTAAATATAATTAAATGTTTTCCTGATATTCAGTCATCATTTAAGGGCTTTCATTGCAAGTATTTATGTAAGTGACTGATTGACTATGCTATTAATCTGATTAAACCATTGATTGATTGGTTGGTTGGCTTTTATGACCACATCCCACAATAAAAAAAGATTTGAACAATGAAATCAGATCTTACCTCAGATTGCCTTTATACCAAAAGCTGATTAGACCCCCAATTATATTCAGTCCTCTCAGAAAACACTGCTTTTATTATCTGAATTCAGTGGAATAGTGTTTTAGTTGACTTCTAATTCTTTTTTTTGTAAATATAATTAAATGTTTTCCTGATATTCAGTCATCATTTAAGGGCTTTCATTGCAAGTATTTATGTAAGTGACTGATTGACTATGCTATTAATCTGATTAAACCATTGATTGATTGATTAATTGATTGGTTGGTTGACCACATCCCACAATAGAAAAAGATTTGAACAATGAAATCAGATCTTACCTCAGACTTTTGCCTCTATACCAAAAGCTAATTAGACCCCCAATTATATTCAGTCCTCTCAGAAAACACTGTTTTTATTATCTGAATTCAGTGGAATAGTGTTTTGGTTGACTTCTAATTTTTTTGTAAATATAATAAAATGTTTTTCCTGATTTTTAGTCATCATTTACGGGCTTTCAATGCAAGTATTTATGTAAGTGACTGATTGACTATGCTATTAATCTGATTAAACCATTGATTGATTGATTGATTGATTGATTGGTTGGTTGACCACATCCCACAATAGAAAAAGATTTGAACAATGAAATCAGATCTTACCTCAGACTCTTACCTCTATTCCAAAAGCTGATTAGCCCAATTATTTTAAGTCCTCTCAGAAAACACATCTATCATTGTCTGAATTCAGTGGAATACTGTTCTAGTTGACTTCAAATGCTTTTTTTTAGATGAATAAATGTTTTCCTGATTTCCAGTCATCATTTAAGGGCTTTCAAATCAAGTATTTAAGTGATTGATTAACTATGATGTAATTAATATTGATTGAAACCATTGATTGATTGGTTGGGTGGTTGGTTGAGCACATCCCACAATAGACCATTTTGAGGGATGTAAACAAAAACAAAGGTCCTAACATATTTCCTGTTTTACATTGTTAATTTCTATAGCTTCCGGGAACCCAAAAAGAGCCACTTATTCATAAGTATTGTCATGAAGCTGTTCTGACATTAAGTTATGATTGAATTCAGGGCTCGCAAAATTTGGTAGCCCTCGGGCAGGCAGTTTGTAGTTTTTGGTGGCTAGAATATAAATTTAAGTAGCCCAGATAGAAAATACATAATTTATTAAATGAAAACAAAAACATACATTTACAGAAAAAAAAATATGTAGTGGCGTTTGTTATAGGCTATATATTTATTTTTTTAAATGACCAAATATTATTTAACATTTTTATTTAATAGTATTTTTATGTGAACATCATTTCAGGTTATTTTTTGGTAACTATAAAAACTTTCCAGCATGTTACAGGGTAGTTATCTTTAAAATAATAACAATAATAGGCTATACCAATATTCGGAATGTAAACCCATGGTGACACGTCAAACAGACACGGGTGTTCCTGCCAAATTTCCACTCGTTTTTCCTCCATTTCTTTGGTCCAAATAGACAGAAAAGAAGCTCTTTTACTGGGAAAAAGCAATCTTGATAATTATATTCCACATTGAACGATGACGATATATATTTCAATACAAGTTGTTAATGCTTCCAGATTTAAAAGAGTACCCCAACAATGACTGAAGCCACAAAAATTAGATGGTCCATTAAATGGCGCAAGATTTTCGGCCGATAAATTTTCGGTGGCCGAAATTTCTGTGAATCTCTGATATCAACACAAAGTCCAGAGCTTATCATTGTAATTGACGTAAATTCAATTGCGATTCGATATAATATCGTTTTTCGGCCCAGCCCTATTTCTCCCCCAACCTCCTGTTGGCCTGCAGATATCCATAATACTGGATGTTGCACTCTCATTGGCTGTAGGTAATCACAGATGCTATTTTCAATCAGAACGCAATTCACATGGCATGATTTTGAATCGCTGACAGCTCCAGATATTTAGCGTGCCAAACATCTCCATGGCGTTGAAGACTCATCGGCGATTCACTCAGATTGCGTCTTTGATAGTTTACACTGTGTGATTGTTATTTACGTGAATGAGTACCAATTTGCCTGTGATTCCAGTCATTTGTCAGCAATTTCAGAGTCAAGATCATGGTTTTAAAATCTGAGTTCATAGCTTTGAGGCGGGTGGAAAGTTGTTAGTCAACGATGACAGATTGGTTAGCGTTGTATAAAAAAAGATGCACAGAACCTCCAGGAAACTTTCTGCTTGTGTCACTTTCAGGCTAGAAATACTGAGGATGAACTCGGCTGGGTCAGGGCTAAGTGGAAACAACCCAGGGTTTAGATCGGTGTCAGCCAAGAATTAATTTCTATTATAATTATTCATTCATTCATTTTCTTGTCGGCCTAGTCCCTTTTATTAATCCGGGGTCACCACAGCGGAATGAACCGCTAACCCAGGGGTCTCAAACTCAATTTACCTGGGGGCCGCAGGAGGCAAAGTCTGGGTGAGGCTGGGCCGCATAAGGGATTTCACAAAAAAAATTTTTGTTTACACGGCGGGCGGGGAATGCCAGTGACCGCTGTGTACGGATAGAATCAGCGGAGCGGGGAGCGCTCTCTCTCCCCGCTCCGCTGATTCTGTCAGTGTACAGCGGTCGGCGCGGGCCACAAAATATTGCACTAAGGGCCGCAAATGACCTGTGGGCCGCGAGTTTGAGACCCCTGCGCTAACCTATCCAGCAAGTTTTAAGCAGCGGATGCCCTTCCAGCCGCAACCCATCTCTGGGAAATTATAATTATTGTTATTGAAAAGTTTATTCTGATGAAGATGCTTCATTTTTGCCTTCCTTGCTGTGTATGGGTGTGGATTAACAGATTCAGATGCCAAATTCTGGTGAAAGAAAAAATGAGGCCAAGCTACTCTACAGAAAAGGCTAGCTTAGCAGTGAATTTCCATGCTAGTTCGCTAGTATGGTGAAATACTTCTGGTCAAACTTTGATTAATCTTTGGCGAAGCTGGTGGTGATCTTACCTTCCCCAACCCAACATATGCTGGCGATATGCTCTTTTCAGTAGGATATGCACAACCTTCTGCCAGATGTGGTCGGTTGTGTCTGGAATATTATGGGATATCCCAGATGCTACCCTCTTACTTATCCGGAATTAGGCTAATTTACCACATTTAACAGGTCTCTCAGGTTAGCGTCGCGAGGAGCCCCCTAAAATACAGTCTTGAGTGTGCATGTGTATCCATTACGTACATGTATATGTGGGGCATCGTTGGTTTCCGGCCAGGCCTTCAACAGAGCTTTTCCTGTGGTTGGCCCATGTGTGCAATTGAAGTCTTTAGTGGGTGGGTGCAGGGCCTGTGGTTTCCCCCCCCCCAAACTTCAGTCCCCAGGGTACCCAGTGCCCAGATCAATCATCAGCGTATGGAAGCAAACATTTCTTTTTTGGACACACTGATGTGGGTGAGGCAATCAAGCATAAGCACTCAGTGTGACTCCACAGCATTTCTGACTAAATGAAGTCTGGATACAGTGACACATGCTGCGGTGTAAGTGTGTGTACTCGTTTGTTGGCAGTGGCACTGTCAAGTTAAATGAGAGAAAGGCCTGAAGCCTGTAGCTTGCTTATGTAGAGTATGCATTCTGACTTTTCACATCGAAAACTTCCATCACTTAATAAATAATCTCCTTCTTTCTGCAGTGGATCCAGAAGAAGACCTTCAACTGTATCATCAGCATCGCAGAGAGTTCAGATTTGACCTTTCTCGCATCCCGCCAGGTGAAACTGTGACCGCTGCAGAGTTCCGAATCTACAAAGACTTTGTTCGCGAGCGTTATGAAAACGAGACCTTCCATGTCAGCGTGTTCCAGGTGCTTCAACAGCAGCACAGAAGGTTTGTCATCATAGAAATGTATTCGTTTAATGTGTTCACCCCAAAAACATCGCGATGGATTGCATCGTCGTCGTAAGCGGCACTGAATTAATAATTTATGAATAATTAGTTAATACTTAACGAATTAATTATTTGTAGCCTACCGTTTCAACTACCTGACCTGCATGGTCTTTGTTTTGCCCATAACATAATCATAAATAAGTAAAGATAAGTTACACACAAATTACCAAATGTCAAGCAGTTTTTTCCACAGGACTCTGGCATGAGTAGACAGAGTGATCTGTGTCGTTATAATTGCATCGACAAACTTGGTTGGTAAAAAAGGTGCACAACCAACAGCAACCAACCAACAGTATCTGAGGTTTTCGCTAATATTACTAAGTACAAGCATGAAAGCGAAAGATTGAAGCAGTGTATTGATGCTGTGACCCGTTACCTGATAGATTCAAAAGATAGAAGCGTCATTAGATAGAACCAAGATTAATTAAATATCACGTTTAACAACTATTTTCAGATGCAATCCAGCGGTACATCCTTGATAAACTGTCCGACGTGCACTGCTCTCTGGTGTTTTATACTCAAAGCACCCTTTGAACTCGGACGTAGGCTGCATGAGAGTAGTGTTTGTGAGAGTGTGTGTGTGTATGCTTCCCAGAGATGGGTTGCAGCTGGAAGGGCATCCGCTGCATAAAAAAATGGGCTGGATAAGTTGGCGGTTCATTTCGCTGTGGCGACCCCAGATTAATAAAGGAATTAAGCCGACAAGAAAATGAATGAGTGAATGATGAATGAATGTTGTGTAATTTGATTACAGTTACTAAAGTCAATGTAGTTGCGTTACAAATATAGTTTTTAGAAGAAAAAATGCTTCTTTTAAATCATGTTTTCCACTGCAACATCAGTCAATAAGCATGCGCTTTTAAATTGCTGGAGAACGTGAGCTGAAATGGTTGCTGTCAAGAGTGGTTGCTTCTTCAAGTGGAAATACAGACATTACTTAGATTTCTTTGAGCGTAAAAACAAAAGTATTGCTATGAAATGCACTCTATGTCCAGTCTCTAAAGAACCTTCGACTGCTTATGACCAGCAACTTGTTCAAGCACTTGAATAGAAAGCATTCTACAGTGTTGGGCAGTAGCGTCGCTACAAGTAGTGACGCTATTAGCCTAACTACATTTCTCAGTAGTGTGGCGGTAGCGTCGCTACAGCTTTTTTTTTTTTAGTCAAGTAGCGCAGTAGCGTCCACACAAGCTACATTTACTGATCGCTGATCAATAAGTGTCGACACAGACATTCACAGAGCTGTGAGGCCGTCGTCTAGCCGATAAAAGTAAATCCATGCGATGGCGAGAATGACGATTTCTTCTTCCTGTTTTACCGTGGTCCACAACAAACTTTTTGGTGCATTACTGCCACCTCTCGCTCCAGTCGGTGACATCGCCAATTAGTTAGGCTAACATGAGAAATTTGCTTGATGGAAAGATGACTAAAGGTTGATTTATACTTCTGCGTCAAACACCGGCGTATGCTACGGCGCTGATGCATAGCCCTTCGCCGTGGCCATCGCCGTCACTGACGTGCACCTCTCAAAAAATGTAACTACACATCGCAACGACGCGTAGCGTAAGCTCTGTTATTGGTCGGCTTGGTAGCGCTGACGAGTCTGGGCGGGACCGAGAGCCGTGCAAATGGTGCGACGCCGCGCGAGCGATTGTTTACAAGTGTGGAGTCCCGTGAAGGAGCTCCGGATGGAAAGTTTTGTTTTGTGTTTACCTCATAGTTAAAGTTGTTGCACGTCCGCCGGTTCCTGCCTCAAAATGAGCGAGTTTGAGCCACTTGTACATCCCGGAAGTGTTCAGGAAATGCAAAAAAGTAGCGAAGAAACTCGACACAGAGGAACATTTACACCTCACTGCCAACTAGGGTTTTGGAAGTGTTAATGTAGACCGACAGAGACAGCGCGCAGAAGTATAAATGCACAGCCACGCGCGTTGCCTGCGCCGTGGGTTACGCCGGTCACCTGACGCAGAAGTATAAATCAGGCTTGAGGCTAAACAGGCTAAATTAGATTTTTGTGCAGGACTGTCAGGACTTCCGGGTACATATTGGGAGCGTATATTGCATGCGTTCACATTTTCCAGGCATACACGGTTGAAAACCACATGTCATGTGACAAGAACTGACCGATTTGCTTCATACATTGTATGGAATATACACATTTCGGTGGACTAATTACCTTAGACAAACACACAACACTAAAACGCCGCAGTGCTTTTTCATACTACGGATGTCAGTTCACAAATGGAAAATCTACTATGTAAAAAAAGTGTATAATTAAGTTCGATGAAGTCTAAATTAGTGATGAGTTTGACCTTGAAATATTATTATTATTTATTTGTAGGTAAATTTGATTATTATTGACTTTTGTATATTCAGAATTGATTTACTTGATTTTTATCTTTATGGTGGGTTAATTTATCACCCGTTGATTTTGTAAATGGTACTTAATAGGTACTGTGCCTGGGCCTGGAAATTTAAGTTTATCTGGTTCATGACGAGTTTAACTAAAATGTGTTGATATTAAAGCATAGTTTTTTTTTGTTTTTGTTTTCTCCGTTATTAATATATTGATTTGTTTGTTGAATTGAATATTTGATTTTGGTTTACTTGATTAAACCGTGCATTTGTTAAAGTTTAATTTTTTATTTGATTGAATTATTTGAGAAACTGTAGTGGTTTTTTTTTAACCCCTGGCGCCCAACCCACTTTATTAGCCAAACACCGCTACACGGTTACTAGCATCCAGTTTCTGAATTTCTTCTTTTGTGTTCTAAAAAAGACAAACAGGTTTGGAGCAAGTGAATAATGAGAGAATGATGATGAGAAACGTCTTCTGAAAATGTCAAGCTGCTGTGTTCAACCCACTGTTTCTTAGTGAATATAAAATCACCGAAAGAGCTGCAGTTTATTTAGTATTTTATAGGTATATTTTATATGTTTTAAAAGTAACTTTATTTAAAGTAATCCGATTACTTGTTATTTTGAAGTAATTAGTAATGTAATCAGATTACAATTTTCCAGTAGTATTCAGTAATTTGTAATCTGTCACTTTTAAAAGTAACTTACCCAACACTGTTCCTTGTTTAGCTCCGATTTAATGATGCCTGTGTGAAATTAATAGCTCCATCAAACTAACTTTACAAATCCTGTTCCCAACCATTCCCTTCCTACCATCTGTTGCGCTGTGGTATATAACGCCCACTTTCATGATCACGTCAGTGGAATATATCATGTCTCATGGTCACACTGAATATCCTAATCTATTCTAAAACATTTCAAATTATGCAAGGAAATGAGCATGAGGTTTCATGTTCACTTCAATATGGATGTACATCTGTTTGCCCTAGGCCTTTATGGTTTGGTTATTGTGTTAGCTCTGAGGGATATAATTTTTCAGATATGCAAAAGCTAAATCATGACTTTGGTATGTTCATGTTGGTAGATTTTTAATAGAGCAGTATGTAAAGGCCTCTAGACATTATGAAAAAACACAGGGAAACGTCTGAAATGAAACATATGCCACCACCCACACTTTTTTTTTAAGCCTGAAAATGGGAGGGATGGATCCACACACACATTGATTTGTCTGCCCAGTGCTACGTGTCTAATGCCAGGGCTCCCACAGAATTCCTTAATCTGATTTACGGTGTGGCTGCTAACAAGCAGTGAGAGCAGCCGCCATTACAAAACCATTACTGTCAATTATTGAGATACAAAGTCCTCAGTGGAAGGGTGATTCTCCACCTCAGACATCTGGAGGAGCGGTCTCTGTCTTCATCACTTCATCACATTCCCTCAACCTCGATAACACCTTCTTGCAACGTTTCGATTGCGCCGATAAAAGGGAAATCCTGAAGAAGTCCTCCAGGTGAGACATGCTCAGACAGACGTCTCTCCTTGGTTGCTTGTTCTAAATTACACGCATACTAAAGCATTATCCATCCCCCCCGATGCTCACATTCTCTGAGAAGACCACCCATTGTGAATCATCCTTCCTGCGACTCTCCCATTGTCATGCAGAGACGGTTGATATGCACAGACAGCAAGGCGACTAGACAGGAGGAACATAAAGACCTAGTCTCTCGATGCCTTCGAGGTCTGAAATCCTACCTGTTAGTCAAGCCATTGTTTAGAAGAGCCGTCCAGAAGCCCCCGGGTTTTCATCACCGGAGGACAATCTGATCTCTTTAAAGCAATGACACATTTAATAAGACAGAGCTTTGACGCTGTCTTGGAAACATGTTGTTGCCTGTGCGGTTGTTTTTTCATTTCATGAGATGTATCAGCCAGACCTCAAGTTCTTATCTAATGGAGTAGAGCTTATTCTGAGATATCTTTATCTGAGAGGGACAACAAGTTCTGGCAGGAGATGGCATTTTTTGTTTTATTTCTGCTGTTTGTGTACAAGGAAAACCTCATGAAGAAGTAGTCATGAGGATGGGAGCAACTCAAATGCAACTGCATGGTCTAAAACTTTATTGTGAATGTGGTTGAGTTAGTTTTTTCTGTTGAACACAGAAGAAAATACGGTAACACTTTATAATAGCTACACACTATAAATCAATTATTAAGCATTAGAAAATAGTGAATTCATTGTCCGTTAACTCTATATTAATAAGCGTAAGTAAGCAGTTTATAGCTGCAGCTACAAATGCTCTATTTGACTTACAAACAAAATTAAAATGTGTTTAATAATTGTACGTTCATACTTTGTTAATGATTTATTTTTCATTACTAAATTAAGCATCGCATTATTTACAAACCATTTGTATTTAAGAGTAGTTAAGAGTTTTTAGGATCATTCAGAATGAGTTAGTAGATGATTAATAAACTTTTGAAATCAACGTTTATATGTCTTATTATTCAGGCATATATTGACGGTTACTATGTATGTTAATAAATGCTTTATTAACTCAACTTCATCCAGTTTTGTGACCTAA